TGAAAATGGTGAATCTGCTTGTCGATTGTATGGCATTTCACACAAAAAATCAGTTATCTGAAAGCGATTCAATGATCATTTGAATACAATCAAATTGCTCGTATTGCAGGAAGATGTATCCGGAGCAGCGATAGCTCTAATGCGTCTTCAAGATACTTACAGGCTCGACACCGCAGATATAGCCAATGGCAAGATTCTGACTGCAAAGCAGACTGAAGGTTTTACAGGTAGAATAACAACTGACTAATCATCCTTTGTTTCCTTTCAAAATCAATGACGATAAGTAGAAATTCACATCTGTCAACTCGTATTTATTGAGATTACTTAAGATTGAATGCTTACTGTGTTGACTGATCTGGATTTTACAAACCTAAATCACTATTTGTTACGCCTTATGTTCTGCTTCTTCAGCGAATGACTGCTATAATATCGGTCGCCATGCATACACAGCAGAAGATTACTACCATACAATATTGTGGATGGAAGAGGCCAAGAAACGTTTGCCGAAGGAGTCTGATTCACAGCCATTGTTAGAGGAGATCCTTGAATATCTTGCATTCGCGCTCTACAAGCAAGGCAATCTGAAAAGAGCGTTGCAAACCACTGAGGAACTTACTAAATTGAGTATGTTCTTAGAAACTTTGGTTCGTATCAAGAAATTGCTGCAGAACTTTCAAATTTCATGTGTAACTCAACGACCCAACAACAAGTTCGTATTGAATTTTAAATTCCACAAGTGTTGCCAAATGTTTAGAGGAAAGCTCTGGGAAAGGAACCATTGATCAAAAGCTTTTGATTGTAGAACATGCACATTTATCAGGAGTACTGTTTCAGTTTCAGTCTCATGAATTTAGTTAGCTAAAATTATGACAACTTAAATTGTCGTGTTGAAATTTGGTTAAAACCTACTGAATGTATGACATTTATTTCATCAAAACGAACTAAATCTTATGAAATTTATTGGAAAAAGTGGCTGAGTGCAGTTTTTACAATAAATTAGACTGTAAAAACAACAAACGCCAACATTCATATAGTGATAACTTGAAGATCCTCAACATGCGCGTGCTAGAAACAACGTGAAGTGGTACCAGGATTTATTGGTGAAAGATGGTGTTAAGCCTAGTGATCATCGTAGGAATATTCCACCACTGGACAATCAACGACCTGATGATGGCATGAAGGATTCTGAGAGGACGATTTATGAAGCACTCTGTAGAAACGAAGTACCAGTGGTAGGTTTCCATCTCCTTTTAAACACCATTCGATTTTCTCTGCTTTTTCTGAACCCAATAAATTTCTTTGAATCGTTGATTCATGCGGAAACTACGGCCGATTATATGCGCAAGTGTTGAGGGCAAACTGATGTTACTTTGACATTCGATTTCAAGCATTCAAATGAATATAAGCCTTGTGAAACAATTGTATAGCGTAAAATAATATACGATTATAAAATAGATTCGTTGGTAAGGAACAGATTTCTTACAAGAAATAAATTGCAGAGTGTCAAGGCTACCTCAAAATTGTATTGCTACTATAAGATGGATCGTCCATTCCTGCGTTTAGCACCGTTTAAAGTTGAAATTGTGCGATTTAATCCGTTGGCTGTGCTCTTCATCGGTGTCATATCGGATGAAGAAGTTGAACGAATACAATTAATAGCAACCCCTAAAGTACGTATTCATTTCCTGTGAAACTTCAAACGTATTTCACTTGATTCAGTTAGTATTAGGATAATCACCGTAATTATAGTCCGTAGAACTTTAATCCGTAGAACTGCATCAAACTCCAACGAAAGAACTTTAATGGCGATAAATCTAAGCAACGACGCATTTTATTGATCCTAATAAGTACATGAGCACATGCGAAGTACACAACGAAATTTCAGTCTAATCGTAATCTGTCTAATACGCTACGATTAGAAAGTTCTATATTTAGTACTTTA